ACCGAGTGCACAAAGTTTTGTGCACCAGGCCTCTGGTTAGGTAATAAAATAAAATAAAAGTCATCCAGATTGAAAGGAAATAGTAAAACTATCTTCATTTGCAGATGACATGATATTGCATATAGAGCTGTGTGTAGCAAATACTAAGGAATCCACTAGAAAACTGTTAGAGCTAATAAGTAAGTTCAGTAAGGTTTCAGGTTACAAAATAAACATACACAAATCAATTGTATTTCTATACAATAGCAATGAACAAACTAACCATGAAAGTAAAAAGCAATTTTACTTGTAATGGCATCAAGAAAAATAAAATACTTTGGAATAAATTTAACAAGAGAAGCACAAAACTTTGAAAACTGTAAAACATTGTTGAAAGAAGTTAAAGGCCTACACAAATGGAAAGACATGTTCATGGATTAGAAATTTTAATATTGTAAAATGGCAATACTAGTCAAAGTGATCTAATTCAACAAATTCCCTATCAAAATCTCAGCTGGTTTCTTTTTGAAAATTGACAAGCTGATCCCAAATTTTATATTAAAATTCAAGCGACCTAGAAGAGCCTAAGCAATCTTGAAAAAGAACAAAGTTAGAGAACACACACTTCCCATTTCAAAACTTACTCCACGCCTAAAGTAATCAAGATAGTGTGGCACTGGAATAAAGATACCAGTAGGCATCTATAGATGAATGAAATAAAATTGAGAGTCCAGAAGTAAATCCCCACTTCTGTGGTAAATTGATTTTCTGTAAAGATGCCAAGGTAATTCAATGAGGAAAGAATATTTTTCTCAACAGAGGCACTTGAACAACTGGATATTCATATGCAAATAAATGCAGTTGGACCCTACTTTATGCCAAATATAAAAAATTAACTGAAGGTGGATTAAGATCTAAATGTAAGAGCTAAAACTATAAAACTCTTAGAAGAAAACACAGATGTAATCTTTGTGAGCTGGGATTTGGCAGTAGTTTCTTAGATATGACAATAAAGCACCAGCAATCAAAGAAACACATAGATAAATTGGACTTCTTCAAAATTAAAAACCTTTGTGTTTTAAAGGATGAAGTCAAGAAAGCAAAAAGACACACCATACAGTGGGAGAAAACTTTTTGCAAATTATGTTTCTGCTAAGGGACTTTTATCTAGAATGCATATATAAAAAATTCTTACAACTTAAGAGTAAAAGACAAATAACCCAATTTAAAAATGGTCAAAAGATCTGAATAGACAGTTCTCCAAAAAAAAGACATACAAATAACCAATAAACACATGAAAATGCAAATCAAAACCATGAGCTACTACTTCACATGCCCTAGTACAGCCATAGTAAGAAAAGACAATAACAAATTTTGGTGAAAATCTGGAGAAATTAGAACCCTCAAATGCTACTGATAGGAATTTAAAATGGAAAATTTACTTTGGAAGACATTCTGGGAAGTCCTCAAACAGTTAAACATAGGGCTACCAAATGGCCAAGCAATTCCACTCCTGGGTATAGACCCAAGAGAAATAAAAATATATTTTCACACAAAAACTATATATTAATATATATAGCAGCAGCATTCATAGATATCCAGCAGCTGATGAATGAATAAATAAAATGTGGTATAGTAAAATAAGGAAATATCCTTCAGTAATAAAGAGAAATATACTGATACATGCTATACCATGGGTGAACCTTGAACCTTGAAAATATTACGCTGAGTGAAAGAATCAAATGTTGTATGGTTATTATGAAATGTCCCAAATAGGCAAATTCATAGAGATTGAAAGTAGGTTAGTGGTTTCTGGGCCTGAAGGAGGAAATTGGTGTGGGGGAGGGGAGTAGGGGTGAATGGAGAGTGACTACTAATGGTCATGGCATCATTTGGAGGGAGTGATACAAATGTTCTAAAATGATGGCAGTGGTCGCCCAACTCTACCATATAGTGAAAGTCATTGAATTGTACACTTTGAATGGGTAAGTAATTTGCTCATTTGTATTTCAGTAAAACTTATTTTTTAAATTTCCAATATTAGGTTTATTTCAGTGTTAACATCTATTAAGGTCACTGAAATTGATCAGGTAACTGGTCTGTCAGTTAGAAATTCATATTGCTACTACACTGTACCTGCAGCAACAACATTTGCGTCTTGTATGGATTTATTTGCATCTCGCAGTGGTATAGCTGATAGCTCAGTAAAGAGGTTCATTTAAAGAGTTGAGTTTAAGTGCTATACATGCCCAGCGTGGGTATTTTCAGATTGGACATCCGCTCCCTAATTTCCCTTGCATTGGAGTATTACCTTTAAGTAGCACAATGATATTTGCACTAGGCGATTGTTTTATTTACAGTGTATTGCAAAACACTGATGAATTGAGAATCCACATGTTAGGAAGGAAAGTTAGGCTACACACCCCCTAATGTGGGAAATGGAACTATTTTTATTATTTTATTTATTTTTAATCCTCATCCAAGGATATTTTTCCATTGATCTTTTAGAGAGAATGGGAGAGGGTCAGATAGAGAGAAACATCAATGCGAAAGAAACACATCAATTGGTTGCCTCCTGCACTCGCCCAACCAGGGCTGGGGCCGGGGAGGAGCCTGCAACCATGGTATGTGCCCTTGACCGGAATCGAACCCAGGACCCGTCAGCCCACAGGCCGATGCTCTATCCACTGAGCCAAACGGGCTAGGGCGGGAATGGAACTATTTTTTAAAGTGAGGTTTGAAAGAATTCAGTATTGTTCCTGATTTTAGCAAGCAGTAGAATATTTTGTTTAGATTAATATGGACTTGGAGGCTAGAGGAATTGCTATCCCTGCCAGGTCCCTGGAGGGAAGGAGCTAGGAAAGGAGGCTGGGACCAACCAGAGAAGGTGAGCAGGAGTGGGGGTGGGGAGTTAGGAAACCAGGAGTGAGGGTCAGGGGTCGGGGAGTTGAGGTGCCTCTCCTACAGCTAAGACTGTAAAAGAACATGCGGGAAAGGGTCTCAAACAAGTTAGGTCGTTCTGGAAGAGAAGGCAAAGACCTTTTACCTCACACCCATCATCCTGGACAGAAAGCCCATCACAGTGTCTGTGTTGAAAGGATGTGAGAAGGTGGTTTTTATTTATTTATTTTAGCAGCTATTCTCTCTTAAGGTAATGAGCTCTTATTAATATCTTTTCTATTATGGACAGAATCTAGTTTGCCCTTATGAGATGATACTGCCATGGTGTTTTTTTTTTTTTTTTTTAAAGCAGTACAAAATAAGGAGACTCAAACTTTTAAAAATGTTAAAAAGTGGTTCACCTATATAATTTCTGGCATAGTAGTGAGAGAATTATCACTGACAAAATAAACAATACAGATTATAGTTATTTTTTAAAAAAGTGGTTCAAATCTATAAATGAGCAAAAAGTAAATCTGTTTTTGATTCTTTTTATTGGTTAGCATGAAAATATTTTAAAGGGTGTTTTTTGTTGTTAATACTCACCAGAGGATATTTTTTCCATTAATTTTTTTTTTTTTTTAGAGTGGAAGGAAAGGGGGGGAAATTGAGACCTCATCATCTAGATCATGGTATCTCGAGAAATTCAATTGATTTTTAGAGAGTAGAAGGGAGGGAGAGAGACAGAGAGAAACATCAATGTGTGAGAGACACATTGATTGGTTGCTTCCTGCAGGCGCCACAAACAGGGCCTGGGCAGGAGATGGAGCCTGTACATGAACCTGGGACCCTTCAGTTCCTGGGCCGAAGCTCTGTTCACTGAGCAAAACTAGCTAGGGTGAAAAGGGTGTTTTAAAAATAGTTTCTGGGAAAAGATTTGGAGACAAGATTTTTCACTCAGATTTCCATCCCTGCTTCTTTCACAAACGCTCCTGCTTGTTTGGGCAGTTTGATAGTCATTCTTTTATTTATTTATTTAAAAAAATATATTTTATTGCTTTTTTTACAGAGGAAAGGAGAGGGATAGAGAGTTAGAAACATCCATGAGAGAGAAACATCGATCAGCTGCCTCCTGCACACTCTCTACTGGGGATGTGCCCGCAACCAAGGTACCTGCCCTTGACCGGAATCGAACCCAGGACCCTTCAGTCTGCAGGCCAGCGCTCTATCCACTTGAGCCAAACCGGTTAAGGCTGAGAGTCCTTCTTTTAAAATGTAATAGGGCTTGTTGTACATTCTTAAGAATGGATTTTCCATTAATTTATTTAGTATTATTAGGCGTGAGAGCACATTGACCATCCACTTGGTGTTAGGGCTGAAAGTAGCCACACGGAAAAACTTGCCCAGTGGAAGGTGGCGATGGGCGAAGAGCGAGGGGTGGGAGCCGATGTCCAGTCCTGACGGCCAGGGAGGGAGCGCGGGGCTTGGTGCTCTGCACTCAGGGCCCTTCTGTGTGCCACTCACAGGGCGTCAGCGACGAATAAAGCTTTCCCAAGCTCCACCCAGAAGTGTGGTTGCCTTTGTCATTTTAATTGGTCTGTGTTTGTGAAGTGGGGCCTCTATTTACTTATAGCTTGAGGCTGGTGTTTACCAAGCCTGGTGGAGGCCAAGTGAGGGGCTCCCGCAAGCTCTCCCGCTGTATCTTGAGGCACTTTTCTTTTCAGTATCTGTGCCTGTCTAATGCGTGAGCTTCTGTGAAGCAAGCACAGGAGGGTACAAGGCCTACAGGGAGGAATTACACCTAATTACTCAAATAATTGCTAGGCTGTTGCCTTCTTAGTCACTGAAAATAATTTCCAGGTCTCTGGCTTTTATAGATAGTCTTCTAGAGGCAGGAGGACACAGCCCCCTTTTTAACTCAACCCATTCACTCACAAAATCAGAACACTCGAGCCTGCAAAATTAATAAGCACCACTTCCATTACATATATTTTAGGTTGTTGTTGCCGTGGCGATAAAGTCAGGGACATTGAATCTCCTCTGTTGAGCCATTGTTATCATCCCTGGCCATCTGCTGCAGCGGAGTGATATTCCATCTCATTTGCATGATGACTGATATATGGGAGGTTTGGAAGGACATATGCCACAGCAATCATGTGATGAAAATTAAAGTGAAAGTTTTGGGCCCAGAGCCGAAAAAAAATCTGTGTATGCGCAAGAGGCTGTTGATGTGCAAATGTGAATTATATTGAGAAGGTCTGAATAGGGAGGTGTGACGTAAGGAGGGGACACAAACGCAGGTGCTTATCTCTACGCAGTCAAAGGCACTGGTTGTCATATCATGGGAACTACCTTTCAAAGAAACAGCGTCAGTGTTTCCGTTCAGCACACCAGGGAGAAGAGACATGTAAGTTTTGGAAACAAGCAAAAAAGTAAGTTTAAAACTTCTGAACGGCCTATGGCTTGCGCGGATGTTAAAGCCGCTCAGTAAGTTCTCACGTCTGATGCCGTAACCTTTAGTTCTGTTTCCGGGGAAATAATATGTGGCAGGAGGTTGAAGTTTAGAAGTGTGTGGATGTTGTTTTTTTTTTTTTTCTGATTTGTGTTTTGAACTTCTGTTGCTGGTTCGTGCTGTGATGTATACTTGGTCATTATTTTAAATGCTGTTTCTGCCTCCTTTTTGCGTGTGGTAAAAATGCTCATGGTATCTGCTTTGAGGAGGATTTCAGAATAAAATGTCATGGTGCAATTGCATTTATACTGCATCAGTAACGCCTTTGTTTATATACATATTTGAAACGTGCAAACTTGCAGCAGGGAATATTTGATAGGAGATGAAACTTTGTACACTTTTTTTCTCTGTAACAAAGTAAAGTGGAAATAATTTCTGAAAATGCAAAAATTACCAGCGAGACCCCAAATCTGACATCTCACTATAATAGAGGAGATATTTTGGGGTTGAGGGCTATCAAAACAATGTAAGTTACTTATAGGAAGGAATAACTAATATCAAGAAGATGTCTCATATTATTGTTGAAA